AAAATACATACAAAGCAGAACACAGCTAAATGTATCAAAAGCATGTCTCTGTGATATTAGAATTTTCTGAGACAATGAATTTTGGTTTTTCATTTTTTTTCCCTGTAAGAGGTTTTTATTTAAAATAATTTTTGGACAAAAAAAAATCGCAATATATCGCCTTGCTTATAGTATCGCAATATATCGGGATATATCGTATCGTGACCCCTCTGTTATGGTATGTACAGTAAAGTATCGCCAAATTCTTGCCAATACACAGCCCTACTTAGCACCCCATAAAACACATCTAACTCAATCTGTATTTAACTGAATTAGTGTCAAAAATCAAAGATTTATTTTGTTTCATCTGAGCTGTTGGTTGAACAGAAGATCAGTCTTCAGATACAAACAAGCTCACTGTACTCAGTGTTAGAACGTGACTGTTTTAGTTCTTATTTCGCATTTTAGAAATCTTTTTCCACAGCTAGAAGGTAAGTTCCTATCCAGCAGAACACTGAACAACAAAGCATCAAACGGAYGACCAAAGGTGTAAAATCATAGGAGCAAAGCAAAATTCAAAGCAGGCCCGGTGCCTGGATGTGGTCATTAGTCTGAGAGCCGCACAGAGTTTTCATGTGGGCACGTTAATGTCTGAACATCCAGCCGTCACCCACACTGAAACTAAACGACAACAGGCTGCTGTGAAGTGGCCGATTTCCTGCAGGAAGCTGGGGGCAGCTAATGAATCACATTAAGTGTGGAGGACGAGCAGCTGCCAGAGTGCAGAGCAACATGCTGCAGGTTCAGGCAGCTGTCACTCAGTCAGGGACCCAAGAACTCSTTCAGTCATTTATTTATTTAAAGAGCCGAGTTGATCCTGACTGGACTGACAGAAGAGGAAAAACTAGAAGCTGTCAAACTCATTAAMCTGCCTCTGTTAGGATGGGATAGAAGTAAGAATAAATCCAACTTGAACCACTGAAATGACAAGTATCTGAAGTTTTGGACATTATTTTGTGTAATTGGAGTTTAATATAGTGCAATGCTTCACTTTTCTGTACCAATTCCACACGACTGCAAATATTTAAGGGTTACTGAGTGTAATCCAGACTTTTTTCCTATTTGGTAAAAGAAAAAGCTGCAGAACTGATCTTAAAGAGATGCACACAAGGATTATTTCACCCTCTAATCCAGGGGTGCACAAACATTTTCCCTGAGAGGGCCAAAATTAAAATCAATCTGAGGGTCGTGGGCAAAATGCAATAACCTAAGAAATGCAAATACTTAAAGAGTAACTTACCCCAAAGTTAACTTTTTTTAGCTGATAAACTGTCTAGAATGCGTCTAAAATGTTATATAGTACTGTTTCTGTGCTAATTTTGATGTTTTTGTGCGTATTTGTTCAAATCTGTAACATTTGGTCTAAAACGTCTTTTTGCTGCTCATACGGGTAGAGCAGTGGTTCTGCAGGCTAATTAGCATATTGGTTAACGGCTCTCCACGGTGACGTGCTTCTCCACAGTTTCACCACAGCGGCTGTGTTCTGGTATAAAAGCCTCTCTCTAAGACACGCCCCGGCAGCAGTCAGAGGGTGGAACAGTTAGCAAGATTAGCATGATCGTCTGTTGACCTTCAGCCTCGGGTGGGGAGAGCTGACTGCTGCTTCCCCCCCCACGCACACACACACACCAGCAGTACTTCCTGCACAGCGGGAGGGAGGAGGAAAAAAAAGGCAGAAACACAGCGGGGCAGCTGCAGCCCTAACGGACCAAACTTCAGTCAAACAAGACCCAACACTTTTATTCCTGATTTAAACTAGTGATCTTGTGAGCAGCTGCAGCTGTATGCTTTTGTTTTTTATGTCAGGCTGTCGCGGAGCGCTCCACTCCTCTGTCCGAGGCTGGTGTGATGTGAGGCGGACAGCTCAGCCGAGGCTGTCGCGTTCTCTCGTCATGGCCACACTTCCGCTCTCTAACCCCCCACCCCCCCTAACCAATTTGATGGATTTTTCTAATTTTGCCTTGGGGCGGAGTTATCTTTTCACAGGGGGGTAAGATACACTTTAAGTAAAGTTGTTTAGTTTTTTTATGATTAAGCTAGCAGCCAGTGTGTTTGCACACATTCTTTAGCTTTTTTTGTTTTCAGCCTATGGACATGGAGAAAATTCAACGTATGCTCAGGCAGCAAAGGCTCATGGGACTTTTCATAATTTAAAATTTGAGTATGTGTGGTCTTATAAAAGGTGTGCAAATCTATATATGGCCTTAAATCTAATCTAAATGTCTCTTGTAGTTACTTGTATTTTATATTTAATCTTAACATAATTRCAATCTAGTAACCAGGACAACTGCTGGTGGACAAAACCAAATGGCTCGGCGGGCCAATTTTGGCCGAYGGGCCCCACTTTGGGCACCTCTGCTCTAATCTACTAATAATAACTTAAAAACAGAGCAGAGAACAGATATTTCTAGAGAATTTATGTCAAAATTTAAAAGAAAAAAGTAAATMATTTCTTTAAGTCACCAACAAACAGGTGCATTTGATGATACAAGCTCAGTTTTCTGCAGGATTCCTGGAGTTTCCAACCAATTAGCCTGCAGAACATAATAGTTTTCAGAAGCACAGATCCCTTCATGCCTCTTTTTACATTGCATCAGTTCAGCAGCAGCTGCTGCTGTTTTCTGCTGACCGCGAGCACCAACAGTGTTTATTAACTTATTATATGTTAGAGATGTTCTGAACCACCGGTGCAAAAACTCTGCTGAGTCTGAAAGACGACGAGGAGCRTGTCACAGATCAGCGCTAATAAGAGMGTTTTCACTGAAGACGTKTGGAGGTGTGTGATGTTTGCTTTAACATAAAGCCACCTCATCAGTGGGATGTCAAACGTCGACAGATCCGTTCAGATGTGCTAACTGGAGAAGATAAAAGAGAAGCTGTGCTCCTCAGAAGAGTTCCCTCCTCTCCTGTGTGCGACGGAGATCAGGCCAAACAAAGCGCCAACAGGCTGAAAGTAATAAAACCTGCTCCCAGTCGTAATAAAACAGAGATGAGATGTGAAATAAACCCAGATATTTGGGGACATGACAATCCTGCAGGAGGCAGAGCTCTAACGACTGCCCTGCATTCATCTACAGCTAAAATATTCWGTTTATTCTCTTCTAATATCTCCTCTTTATGCATCAAACAAACCAGAAAAGCAAATAAATATTAATTTTAAAGACATTTTACCTCAAGGTTTTTAAGTCAGTATAATGTTATGTTGTTGTAATTGCTATAATGCTGCGCTCCAGTTGTWTCGGAACTCGAAATTCTGAAGCCGGAATGACATCAGTTCCAAGCTGACAACGTTTCAGTTTCAAACACTGGAAAAAGTGTTTCTATTATTTTGCTCTGCAACAATAAAACGTACAATAATAGTGATCTATGAGGTATTTTGAGTGTACAAACAGTGTTAAAACATATATTTTAACTATCAGTATAAAGCATTACAAGTGCGTCTGACGTAATGTAAAATAACACAGAACAAAGCCGCGTTTGTTTACATGCAAGAGTAGCAACGTTAGCGGTTAGCTTGGACAAGCATGCTAGTACGCTACAAACATTAAACAAATATAAAAAGGGAAAATAAACAAACAAATTACACTCGTTTTTATTCTGCCTCCTCTCTTCTTACTTTCTGTCTGTTAAATAATGGGGATGGTGCTTGTGCACGTTTGATTACAGCTCAACATTAGCCGTTAGCTTTGAGAAACATGCTAATGATAGCGCGACCGCTGACAGTTTCATGCGCGCAGCAGCCATGTTGAAGTGATGACGTAACGCATGCTCGGGCTGCTCGGGTATGGTTTGGATGCGCCGACCTCTCGACTCGAAACTACGACTTCAGGGGGCGTTCCAGTTGAAAAATAGAACTCGGAGGCTCGAAAATACRACCTCCGARGACAACTGGAACGCAGCATAAGCCCCGCCCCMTCTTTTCTCCTGAAGAGAAATAAACAGCCTTATGTTGGAGCTGAAGAAACAGATGGACACTCTGGTGGAAGACGTTTGAATTCGAGAGGTTTCACAGAAAGCCTCTCAGCTTTAAACTGGAGCTTTCATGCTCAATAAGCCACTGAAGCCCAGAGGGGCTGCAGGACTTCGRGCCTAAACGTTTCTGCTCTGCTGCTCTTCATGCCGGAGCTCGGGGTATCGATCGCTTGAACAACAACCAGGCCACTGCTTCACTGCTTAATCAACCGTCCACTGCAGAAACACTAACAATTAGACAGGAAGCGACACCCCGTGGAGCCGCTTCTCCAGACTCGGGATGTTCTGCACAATTAGCTGTGACCTCTAAAAGCCAGCGTCCTCCAGACTGATYGGTTCAGACATGTCTCGGGTTGTTTGTGTCAACAGTTCACCCTATRGTCTTGGACCATTTGACAAACACAAGAGTTATGACTGGAGATGTTAAAAAAYAAGCAGAAYCAAGTGTCAGCCGAGGTAACGGAGTAATTAGCTGTAAATAAATCGGCACATCGCAGCCGTCTGATGCTTTGCYGCTGTGCACAGCGTCCTGCAACAGACTGTCAGTCCCTCAGTCCCTCGTTTCATTGTGACTTTAATCATTCGTGTCACGCAGTGAAACTCTCCCACATACTGCTGAGCCCTGGAATAAATGCCTGAAAAGCTGAATGTGCTGCAGTAATAAGACGGTGCACAGGATTTGGACAAAGACATATTACAGCCTGAAATCTTTTTGTGTTTGGATTTTCTTCCACGCTTTCCCTGACATCAACTTTCTCCCTCCGGCTTTAGAAACAAACCGGTTCGTTTTAAAAACCCGAGCTTTCCCTTTAATTTGMAGGTCTTTACTCGAGTCTGTTTAGCTAAAACTCCAGTTAAACAGCTGAAGGGATAAACAGGAAGCACTTGTGCTGGTTGTGGAAAAGGGCCCGCCCACCATGTGTTATCAGAACACCTACAGACCYGAGCGTGTTTTGTCCAATCACACCTCCACTCAGGCAGTTACCTGCACATGAGAGGGAAAAGCTTCCAGTTCACCTGCACAGACTATCATCATATTTTAAGGAATAACCAGAGAAATCCATTAGAAACCAGTTTAACTGGAAACATTCTGCACAATGAATGTTGTGAAACWTGATTATTCTCATAATATCTGTGGTTTTTAGCAATCCTGCAGTCTTAAATAACCAGAACGTCGTTATCAGAACTTAAATTTCTACAAATTACACTTTAGAGCAGAAACAGGTCGCATAAAAGATGGAAGAGGGCATTATTTTTTTTGTTGACACTGAAACAGGGCTGCACCTATGTGTAATAAAACTGCCATTTTAAAAACGTTTGTGWATAATTTTATGTTTATTAAACCAACATTCAGTGCAGTAACTTAAAATGTTTCAGGCTCAAATGCACGTTGAACAGTTGTACTTTTGTTTCATAAAGATAAATATAAAACGTTTGAAGAAACCAAAAGATTTATTCTTATTGTACAAGATGGCTTGGGTGCGGACTCCTGCTTGGTTCTGGTAAAAAGTTGCTGTTGTTTTTATACTTTAGTAAACTTCTCATATTTAGCTTTGTGCAACATGTTGTAGTGGCGACTTATATTAAAATCCTTCATGGCCTTCCTCTAAGGCCTGCGTCACACGGAAAGATAATCACGCCGATTTTTGCTCTTCAGACAATCTTAAGAAAGTCCAGATTATGGTGATGGCTCTAAAGATAATCACAGCAGATATTCCCGCCGTGGGTGGGGAGTTAAGAGTGACCTAGTCGGCTCGGAAGGACGTCGGGACCGCTCCGACCTCAAATCGGGGATATTCAACATGTTTGATTTTTTGGCCCGATATCACAGTGGGTGTAGTGTTCACCCTGAGCTCTCAGCCTGTTGAATGAGACGTGTAGCCAATCAGAAAGTGAGGTGATGTAAACACGGAGGGGATTCCAAAATACACAAAAATAATAGTAATAAAAAAAAAACGTCATAACTCACCAGAAAGTCTGCTAGATGTTAAAAGTCCTACAAAATTGATTTTCCTCTGGTAAAAATAGTCCACAAACGATCAACATTATTTCTTCCTTGTTGYAAATGTTTATTTACTCTGAACTCACGTCTCTCTGGAGGTCACGTGAGATTTTTCCTCAGACATATGAATTATCGCGAGATTTCAGGAAGCCTCGCGTGATTTAATATCTGACATCTGAATGTTCATGAATAAAATATCTTTTCGCGTGTGGTGTGTTGTCTCTTGCCGTGCGACTGTACACCACACACTGTAGGACCAAACCTGGTAGATCCATGATATTTTAGCCTCACGTGTGGGCTCTCTCAGTCTTTGAAAATCGTCCGACTGTTTTAAAATCTTGCAGTGTGATGCAGCCATAAGCAGATTAAACGCACAGGTTTACCTTGAAACTCTGTGAACCTCCCAAAATCAAAACAATATTTGTTTTTTAACTTAAATTGCTTTTTTAAATGGAAAAAAAAACATCAGGGCCTGACGTTAGTCACTCATGGACCACGTATGGCTCGCGAGCCACCAGTTGCCTATCCCTGCTTTAGAGACTAAAGAGCTCCATATTAACACCGCAGAAATCCAGGAGCAGATCTTCTCATTCATWTCGACCTAAACTAAAACTAAAGAGTCAAACTCTCCCAGCAGCAGGAGTTTATCTACAGTTTGTGATTTTAACTCTAACTAACTGCCAGGTTTATCTGCACCACATGCTGGCCTGAAGCCATCGAGGCGGTGTTTTCTTRGCACCCACATCGGCAGAGTCAAAACATTACGTCATCGTTCCGAGTCTCGGCGCCACAGACTGACCTGCATCTCCTTGTCTCCGTACTTGGACGAGTGCTTGCTGCCCTGGCTCTTCCTGCGCAGCTTCTTCAGCTCCGCCTGGCATTTCTCCAGACTCTCCCCTTTGCTTTTGTGCTCCATCTGGTACTTCTTCAGGGCCGCCTGAGGGGGGCACCACAAATTCAGCAGGGGTGGTGGGGGGTGAATGTTGGCAACAACATAAAACCTTCAAATGACGAGCTTCAGTCAGTTCCCAGAATGCACTGCACATAARGTATGATTTGTCAACAGGACAGCCATTCATCTCCACTTTATCTACATCTTAACGCATTTCTTATTTATCAAACCAACATCCCTTTAATGCATCAAGCCGTTCTGGATCCACAGGGCGGACCAGGAAGTGACTTACATAACTCGGTGCTGCCGTTAGAATAAAGATGAAACAACTGATTTCATAAGAGTATTTCAGCCGGACCCCCCAGAGAGGTGGGACTGAAGTGGAGCAGATTTATTCAGGCTCATCGTGGTTCAGGTACGATGTTACATAATGGATCTGAGGCTCCTCCAGTAGAACTGAACCAAAAGAAACTGAAGCTAAAATCTGAGTGTTTTTATTTGAATTCTCCTTAGTTTAACTAAACCAAACAATAAATGTAAACTTTTCCAAATGTGGGGTTCTGTTTTATGGTAGCAGTTCTCAGAGTTAGGGTCAGGAATAAAAACAATAATGTGACAGTTTTGGAACAATTTTATATGATTTATAACTTTTTTCTTTAATTATGAGAAAGCTTCATGATTCTTCTGAACACCCTCTGCAGCTGAAACTTGACTAAATGAAACTTTGGATTTGTTTTGTGTTTTGACAGAGCGGTTGTCGTGGTTGTAAAAGCGTGGAACAAAAGAGAGTCTTACGTTCAGGTAGCGAGCATCCAGCTCCACCTTCTTCTCCAGCTCGGTGAGCAGCTCGTTGTGGAAAGACTTGAGCTGCAAAACAAAACAAAAAGAAAAACACAAACCTCAGAAACAATGAGCTCGATTAAGCAAACCTCAAAACAGTTACGTCCACAACCACAGCGATGTATTTATAAATGTGTTTTAGTGCTGCACTGCCTGCATGATTAGAAGGCGTGCATTTGTTTTGGGTTTTGGAGGGGACACACCCAGAGGTTTACCAGAGGAGGCTCGGCATGTATCGTACATACCGAGGCAAGTCTGCTTCTGCATGAGAACCAGGCATGACTCCATTTAGATGCAAAGTATTCTCTTTGTCTTAAAGTTATTAAATTCACTGTACAGATACGAAGGGTTTTAAAGCAAAACAATTTGATTTTGCTGCTATTTAAGAATAAATCTGAGCCACAACAGAATAAACAAATCATCCAGTTACTGCAAAGAACAAGATACTTTAAAAAATCCTCCACAAAAATACCATTGTATTTATTCATGTATAATACGAACCCCCCCTTTTTTTTTAGCTTAAAAAGCATAAAAAAATTTAATCCTCAAACTACCTCCAATTTCATACAGACTTCAAGATTTTTCAGCCTTTGCAGTCTTTATACATATCAGTAAAATGATCATTGGACTGTTCATTTTATTTTAACAACATATGTACTAAAAGGTATTTTGACAACAAATATATATCAGCTGTAGCAGCATCATATGAATTCTGGCATTTTACACATAGTCCACCAGGAGGCGCCAACACAAAAGTCAGAGACTTCACATGAGATTTGGGCCATCTTCAAGGGGAAAAGCAGATTACATCCTGCTCACGAGCACCCCCCCTCTGGTGGGGAAACTTTTTTCAGGGATACAAACATTTTCAGAACACCGGTAGACGGCAGCCATTACAGACGAACATGTCTTTGTTGTTGTTCGAGGAGCGACTCGGTCACACGCTAATGTCATTAATTTATCATTACTGAGCTGCAGGACTGCCCCCCCTTTTTTTCACATCATGTCACCTGTCTGGATCTGTTATTATCTCGCTCTGAAGCACGGAGGAGTGTAAGAGGTGAGCTGGTTTCAGCTGCTTTTTTACAACGCGGTCTCATTTCTGGACTCAGGCATTTTGCCGATATTTCAGTTAAAATACACAAGTAAAAATATTTATCCGAGTATAATACTACCCCCCAACTTTATGGATGATTTTATGGATCAAATTTTACATGTTATAGTTGAAAAAAATACAGTAAGTTTCTTTTATTGCTGATATAATTGAGCTATTTTCTCTTTGAGAAACTGACATAAAAGGACTTCTCTCTGCAATGGCTGTACCGTAATTTTCATTTATTCAGTTTCTGTAAACAAATGAAGCTACAGAAAATGCAGGTGAGGCAAATAAAAACGCTGCTTTTTTAAGACATAAAAATGTGCTGGGACTGAGCAACAACGTCCCCATCTGTTTGTCTGGCTTTAGTAACATCAGCACCACATGCTCACCATCTCCTCGAGCTGGATCTGGATCTGTCTGTGCACTTCAGCCATCTGAAAGAGCACATCCCCTGCAGAGACGAGACAGAGAACAAAGAGGCGATAAACAAAATCAGGCGGAGGAGAGACCAGGGAGTGTGAGAGCGCTACACCGAATCGTGCAAACTTCCAACAACCATGCAGCCAGACGGGTGAGCCTGACGGACGAGATGGAACAGCTGACGTGATGCAGACAAAAACTCAAAACTGTGGGAGAAATCAAACTGAAAATGTTGCACAGATGTGTTTAACGGCAAATCAAAGAGTCAAACAAGAAACCTACAGAAAACAAAATTCTTGAGTTTCATCTTTCCTTCCTACCTAGAGCTTAAAACATTAATGCTATAAAAACACAGGAGTCAAATCTTTAGCGTTTCTTCTATTCATTAAAGACATGTTGAGAAAAAAAAACACCAAAAAGCAAAATCCAGAAATAAAAAAATCTAACCTAAAAAAAAAAAAGAAAAAAAGTGATTCATGCAGCCAAGGAGGTGTTTTAAGATACCTACATGCTGTCTCTTCTGAATATGCAAAGCATTGTAAAAAAACAACAAAAAAGATCTAGTTTTAGTAAAAACAGATTAAAACCTGAAGACAGCAACAAATCAAGCTATCCTGAAAAACAAAAATAAGTAACAGGTTTTTACACAGATATAAACACTTAAAAACACTCATATAATTCAGTAGCCCATACTTATATTTTGTTTTACTTCTTTAAAAGTTAATAATTTACGATGCAATCACAACAATCTTTCAAAAAAATATGACCAATGCTGATGCTTTTATTTATCAAATTGTTTTTTTAAAGTTTTTAAATTGGATACATAAATTACGTTAACATTTTCCTCAAAAATCCAGTATCATTTGAGCAACTTGGCTTAAACTAATAATGTTATTATACTTTATATCTGAGTTTGTTCTTGTCATAAATTATACTAAATCTGACACAAATCAGATTCAGACTCATTTCTTTAGCTTTTCATTCTAAGCAGCCAAACTTTGTGGTTTTAATCTGTAGTTCTTCAGGCTTTTTGAAGGACTTCCTTTGGACTCTGGTTCCCCCTCCACCAGGGGCGGAGCCAGAGGGGTGGCTGGGGGTGGCACCCCTGGCATTTGATTGGCCACCCCAGGTACCACCCTGAAGGGGATCTTAGATTTTCTAGTTGCATTTTGATTTTGTTAGATTCTTCTCTAATACTACTGTACTTTTACATTTTTTGGCTGTGTGCATTTAAAAATGGCTGAATTAGAGCACTTTGTAAAATTAGCGTTAGCATTAGTGATTAGCCTAATTTGGGTTTACCATTGTTAATGGGCATGTGATCATTCTTAGCTACTCCACAACAAATGTCATCTCATTAATTCTTAAAATGGCTGAATTTTAGACTTTTAAACTTAGCTGTGGTGGCCATTTTTAATTTTTGATTAGCATTTATTATTGGGTAAAAATTGTTTTGGTTGCTTCAGCATTAATCTTCAACTTTGTGTGTCTAAAATGGCTGAATAATCAGTCGTGACTAGCATTTGGCATGTTTTTTGAATAATTCTTAGCTACGATCTCACAAAATTTCAGCACAATATTTCTTAAAACAGCTGAATTAAAGCTATTTCAAATTAGCTCTGTCGGCCATCTTAAATTACTTGTGACCTGTCTGCACTGTGACTGCTGGATATGGGCACCAGTGACCCCCGTGACCCTGAAAGGAATAAACTGGTATCGATTATGGATAAATGAATGGCCATCTTGAATTTTCAAATTCTGAATGCTTTCCTTTTTTTGTATGTGCCCCCATAAAGTCACCCTGGCCACGCCCCRTGCCACCCCTTGCCAAAAAGTCTAGCTCCACCCCCCGCCCACTCAGATTTGGTCCAATGATTYTATCTGATCATGTTGTGTCCTGAATGCGACTGAAACTAAGTARCGGTAAAGAAAGACCCTCAGGAAACCTGAAAACCTGTCGATCCAGGCCACAAAAAAAGTCTGGCTGCTTGGAAGCAAAATATTTCAACATTTATGCTGATTTACTGTAAAAAACACATCAAATAATTTCCCCAAACAAGAGTCAAAAGTGAATAAAAAACATCTTATAAAACATGTATATGACCTTTAACATATTGTTTTATGCCATGCAGGACACAGTCTGTTAACAGATATATTCAGGATGTGACAATATGATACAGATATAAAACAAAGTGAAGTGACCGGATCTGCAGCCGCAGCACCACTGCGGCCCAAACGAGCCTGTTAGCGTATGATACTGGCACTCTCCTCCCTCCTGCATAACGACTGCTGACACCGTGTCACAACACTGAGGTTTTCTCCCTGTCTGCTGTGAAAGGAACGAGTGCTTAAGACACTGGACAGAGGGGGGCAGCCAAAGGGGACGCAGAGGGGGCTGTCTGGACAGGATTAATGGGCTTAATGGAAGTGCTGCAGTCATGCAGAGGAGACTCAGGTGGAGAAGAAGGGATTAGGTTAATGTCAGAGCAGGTGGTGGACGGCTGAAGGCTGGCTTTCATTCATTTGTTTCTACAAGTTTGATGAGATTTAGAAAACTAACGTTACTCCTGCAGCTAATCGGAACAATAAATGTTTAACTAATGTTTGCAGAACAGCTCATCGAGACCTGAGGAAAACACGTGGACAGGAAGTGGATCAGCGAGGCATTGAAATGCACCGATGTGCACTTCCAAACTCCCTCTTTGATTCTTGGAGGRCACCCAACACCCCCTCCCATCCCATCCATTAAAAACCAGCCACCGGCCATCAGCCGGGCCACAGCAGCCAGACTGAGCTGAAACGGCTCGATCACACACACAATTAGGCTAATGTTGACTCCTGCCCGGGGGGCAGGAAACAGCAGGGGGAAGGCTGCATCACATAAAAACATCTCAAGGAGATATCWGGTAGAGAATAATGACAGATGATACAGAATTTCTTCACAAAAGAAATCATTTCAGCCAATGATTGGTGGAAATGGGCCATAACCCCCCATGACCCAGCTGACAGACAGGTAAAGAGAAAGTGGAGTAAAACGATCTTTATTATAATAAAAGATGTCAGGTCAAGAGTGTAAAAAAACAGAATCCTCTCTCATTTGCAATATTATTCTCATGAGAGTGTGAATACACCTTTTAAAGTCATTACTGAGCATTCTGACTCGGYGCTGCAGGTTCTCATTTCCTGGAGGATCCCCAAATATCTGGATGTTCTTGTTTCGTTGCACCCTTCCAATCCACAATCTCTCCACCTTACATTGTGAAATATGGGACTTCTACCCGGCAGACGTAAGCTGCTTACTGTTAATCAGAGCAGATCACAACATCTGAGGCTTACAGGGAGAAGCTCATTGTTGTCCACTCCCTCAGTGCACAGGTGGATCAATTAAAGAACTCTGCTTATGAAACCACTCTGAACATAAACTTTTCTAATTTATGTTGGTGTCTTATTTTATTTACTTAATCTGTCTTATAAAATAAGCTAAAATAACTTGATTTCACTTACAGATTCTTGAGTTTGGATGAGRAAAAAAACAAGTTTTAAAAATCCAGCTCAACAGATTACATCAGAGAAATAAACCTGCAGTCCCCCCCAAGCTACCAAAATACCCTATATTTGTTTGCGCAGGGTCAGATCTGACTGGAGCTGACATCTGGGTTCATTACCTTAACGTCTACTTACCATGCAGCTCCCGCGCTCAGCACAGAGCACCGGTTAATGGCCGTGTGAAGGAAGGTGTTTTATGCACTGTGTCGCTGCAGAGACCGTTATTATAGAGGCCTGAAAGCAAATAAGTGGCTCTAATCCTCGGAGAGCTGCAGTGAAGGAGCACAAGGTGCTGCAGGGAGATTTGTTCTCATCAAAAGACACATGATGGGCATTATTACTGTMAAACACTTGCTGTGATTGTGTGCAGCAAAATAAAAACACCCTGCAGGTGCACGATTTCCCTCCACACTATTTGTGTTGTGTTAAATTTTAGGCCTGATTTGTCTAAATAATGTTAAAGGGATCCATGATTAGTTGTAACATTAGACTTTATTTGATAAACATTTATTTTAACTGTAAAAATACTGTAGGCTGTTTAGTTTTGTAATTTAAAAAAAATATGTTTCAACACGGACTGAACCATTTTATTTACACGCAAAGCATTCTGGGTAAATGATGATGTGGATAGGTCATCGGTGCAAGGCTGCTAGCGAGCTATATCCACCCTGAAGGTTAATCTTGGACAATATCTGATGATCGACTCTTTTTAAATGAAACCAGAGAGCGTTGACAGAGAGGAGAAGGTAGAAATGACTCAGCTGTAACTGAAAATATGGATGGAGGACAACAGAGCTGCTTCATAGAAGAACCTCAGCTTAGCCTGTTAGTCTTAGCGCTAGCGCCGATGCTATATAGCCTTATACGTATTAGCTCGGTGCTAGCGCGACAAACAAGCTAAACTGAGGTCCTCCATCCATATTTTTAGTTACAGACTGAGTCATTTTTGTGTTCCCCTCTCTGTCATGTGGATGGAGGACCTCAGTGACGAGAGGAGAATGTGTAGCGCTGAGCTAATACATATATATGGTGATAGCATCTGGGCTAATGCTAAAGCTAACAGACTAAGCTGAGGTTCTTCTTCCATGAAGCAGCTCTGTTGTCCTCCATCTATATTTTCAGTTCCAGGCTGAGTCATTTCTACCTTCTCCTCTCTGTCAACGCTCTCTGGTTTCATTTAAAAGAGTCGATCATCAGATATTGTCCAACCTTCAGGGTGGATATACTGTAGCTCGCTAGCAGCCTCGCACCGAGGACCTATCCACGTCATCATATACCCAGAATGCTTTGCGTGTAAATAAAATGGCCCCATCCGTGTAATATATTTAAAAAAATTAGAAACTAAAAACAACCTMCAGTATTTTTACAGTCTTTATTTTGCAGTTAAAATAAATGTTTATTAAACAAAATCTAATGTTACAACTAATCATGGATCCCTTCAAAAATCTACAGATCAAACATACTTCTATAGAAGGTCCATCCATCTGACCTGTGCTAAAGACTGCAGCGTTTCAAAGCCAAAAAGACAGAATGAAGAAAATGGTCATGATTATTGCTGCAGTTACTTGGTGCTGAAGGTGAGTAACTTTGCATCAGACGGTGGCTAATGGAGGAAAATATAAAAGAGCTGACAGTAAGAGACGAGGGGCAGACATGTAAAGAATGACAAAATATAAAACCTGATCAAGTTTTGACATGTGGTCAATACGATTCCTGACACGACAAACTTGTCACTTCTCTCCACTAATTGCCTACCACAGAGAGAGAAAGAGTAAAAAAAAAATCTGACAGCTAAAGATTTTTTTAAAGGACCTTACGGCGATCCATCAACTGCTCCGTCCCCGTCCGTCTCCAAGGACTCGGCACAATGGAGACAAAGAAGATGGATTTGTTCTAAAAACGAGCTCGTCTCRTGGATCTGACTACCAAAAAGACAAAACAGACAAGCTGGAGGGGGATTCACTGACAGCTTCA